TGATGCGACGGTTCTCTATCCCCTTAAGCATCGGTATCGCGAACACACGACGACTCAAATCAAAGCTCAATCGACCAGTTTTTAAAGCCCAGGAGCTTCGTCCACAGCGTCTCGTAGCTCGGCGTCGCGAGCAGTCGAAGTATTCATGATAATCATCAGTTCGTCCTGAGAGCAATGTGTTCAATATATCATCGGGTCTGGGTCGAATATATATATATATATATATATATATATATATATCTATATATATATATATATATAGATAGTTAAAGGCGAAAGCCAGGATGCGTGCGTAGTCAAAGACTCAGCAGAAGCTTCGAAGCATTCTTCATCGCTCGAAATATCCATCATGGGGATCTGCAGACCACATGCATCAACATATAACCGGTGAAAACATGCACACACACACACACATGCACAGCTGAGCAGCTATGAGCGACTTATTAATCAATCGCCTCATCCGTCAATGCTTGGACTTCCAGCCGCGGATCCATAGCAGCCTTCGTTCAAGCATTAGTTTTAATACATACATGTACATGTATAATTGAATTATTATATGTGTTCGTTCTTACCCTGCGAATTTCGATGGAGGGTATATAATAATCAGCAGGCGGCTAGCCTAGCGCTATACGTACGTATACTACAAAATCCCATATAATAATATCAACACTATTATTGCACATGCGTGTATATTATAAAGTATATAATTTAGAAATTATGGTACGTGCAAATCGAGGCTCGGTCTCCTCGCCGGGTAGCTGATCATCATCCTGGCCGGCCGGAGATAATAAATATTTTTCGCGACCCTATAATATTTCGCATGATCATAGTACACGTGTAGTTCGCTCACCTCAATCTCCAGATCACTGATCTCTTCGATCTCCATCTCGACGGCCGATGCCTGCCACATGATCTTTGGTTTCGAACACGTACAAAGTTTAAACAACGGTATACCCCAATGTGTGCGAAAACCCGATCCGGCCTGTGACTCTGCATCCGTGCTGATGCTGCTGCTGCTGCTGCTGCTGCTGCTGCTTGCTCGCGTAGGCATGTCCATGCCGTTTATCTTGTAAAACAAGCACTTCAACACCTGGACCTCCGCGTGCCTCCCGCTTTTGGCCCTCCCCAAGCACTTGAGGAAAAAAGCCACCAGCCATCTCAAGCGGGTCCCCTGCAGCTCAGACCAACTCACCAGCTTGGCCTTCTGGCCTTGAGCTACCTGCTTCTTTGTCCAGAAGGTATACACGAGGGACACATACAGTATCGCTGCCTTGGCCAAGTCGCGACTCATGCGTTTACTCAAATTTGAATGTGGGAGCAACATACTCACGAGAATGCAGGTATATTCGATGTAGGGTTCGGGCTCGGTGCTCCTTGCAACTCGCCACAACAGGCGCCGTTTCTCCCTCGGCGAGCTTCATTAAGTTGATAATGTAGCTCTGCATGATCATAGCATTCTGGATCAGATCGTCTTCTCCAACTTTCAATTCCAGGATCTTCACGATCGGATGGGCCTAGCCAGCAATCGTACACGTAAGCTAAGCCATGCGTAATTAAAATGCAGGTGCCTGGTTGCGTCGCAGCTCTTCCAGCCGGTTCTCGACCGGCTTCCGAATCGCATCGACAACTCTCAGCCCGGCATCCTTAGCTGTACACCGTACATGTACATAATATACGTAGCAATACATACTTCAACTGCGGGCCAAATTGATCAAGTCTCGGAGATAAAGAAACGGATGGGCTGGAGGACTTTTCGACCATGAATCAGCTTTCCCGTTAAGGAGCACTTCTTCACGGCTTCTACCGTCTTGAAGCAGTAAGTCTCCGCCTCCGCCTTCTGCTTCGAGTTCATGGCGGCACGAATCGAAAAACACACAGATACGCTAGTGTTCGAAGTCCCTGGCGCTCTGCACAGACGACGTGTTGCCTAGGATCGGAAATGCTCTGCCCGCGATGCTTGCACATGATCCATCGACACTCCAGCCAATGCAGCTGAGATCTGGTGGTGTGCACGGCAGCAACACAAAGCACACAGTTGCACATATACAGCTTGCAGGCAGCAGAGCGAAGGGCGGAGGAATTACCCGATTGCTTCTTCCGCATGTCATTGAGCAGCATGCCCCATGCACCCGGCATGGTACACCACCCGGGTTTTGACCCTATATATATTAATATTGCAGTCGTACATACTTGCCCGATTCAATATATCGATGAGTACGTGCCTATCCCATGAGTACGTACGTAGTTATCGGGCCGGGGCCCCGGGGATATCGCGGGGCACTCGACAGTACACTGCTGCGTATAACTCGATCGATATATGCATCGTCTGCTAGCTGTCTGCCGCTCATGATTTACGTGTACATGCTACCGCGGCCGGTACCTGCAGGTCAGGACGGCAGGGGCCGGCATCGAATTGCAGAGCATTCATCGAATATATGATCATGCACGTGCGTGATATTACATGTTCGATCGGTGTGTACGTATACATATATATATATATATAATATCGATGTGTATATTATTCGGGGCAGCCCGGAGTACATATGTATATATATATATATATATATATATATACATATATATATATATACATGTGTATATATATATATATATACACCTATATATAAACCGATCTCCGGGCTGCCCCTGCTAGGCCAGCTAGCACTTCGAGTCGGGTTCGTGTACAATTCTTCGGATCGATCCGTCGAACCGAGCCACAAACATCATTGAAAATGCACATGTTCGTGCACATTACTCGGGCCAGAAACTCTGTAATTTCACCTTCGCTGCAAAGGCTTAAATTTCGTCGACTAATGTTCCATAGCCTGGTCCAGCACACGGTATCGCAAGTGCAATATTTCCCGCCAATTCAGACGAAATCGGTCCAACGAAACGATTCTATTCACTTCCCGCCATGCTGATTGACTTAAACCCCGGACACACGAGCTTCCTGCGGAAGCCCTTAAAAGGCCATGTGACCATATAGCAGAATGTAGCCCTTTTGCAGAATACGGGACACAGTTGACCATACCAATACAAAGACCCTTTGGGAAGGAGAACTCTGAACACGAAGTGACAAAATGCCGACTTCTTTCCGAGACAACTCCAGGATCTCCCTCTGGAACCTTCAGCAGTGTACTCCTCGAGTGCTTACTGGGTTTTCCGATGGGATCCGTGGAGGATTGCTTTAGGATTGAAGCCGGGACAACCCTCACTAGTCAACTCCCTCGGCTCACGATTGCAACACAAAAAGATCTGTAATGTGCCAAGTGTCTGAAGCTTCTCCATCACCTCCCGCTTCAGCTCGGAGACCAGCCGCTCGAAGTCTTGGGTCTTGATCTGCAGCTCGGCTTTGCCGCCAGCATCGGATTCGATGCCGGCTTCTTTGATGTCCGCAACCATGCCGGTGTAGGCATTCTGATGCTTCCGCAACCACGACTCGATCGTGGTGTCCGCTTGAACCAGCGACTGCTCGTACTGCAACTTCTCCAGTGTTGCACTGGAAACCTTCGGTTTCTCTTCCTGTGCCGCTTTTCGCCTCGCCTCGGCGATCTCGGCTTCTTCGAAGAGACGGGCCTCCAGCTCCCGGCGGGTTTGTGCCGCCTCCTCCATGTCAGCCACGACATTGAGGAGTTGGCTTTCCTGCCTTGTGTTGTTTGCACTGTTCACAAGACGGTCGGCCGAAAGGAGGTTCTGTCCTCGCTCGAGCCTGCCAGAAGAGATCTCCTGGAATCTCTCCAGTTCTTCCTTTGACGCGAAATCCATCCTCTGCTTCACGGAGGTGGACAGCTCGTGCTGCGACCCCAAGCGGTTCTTCGCAGCCTGACCACTCCTTCAACAAGAGCTCGCCTCGCACAACCTTCGTGATTGCGCCGGGCTTGAGGTCTCTGCCTTCCACAACCTGGGCAGCTCTTCGGGCTTTGCTCCTGTCAGCAACGCCTCCCTCGCCGCCCAGTCCTTGAACCGGAACCACCGGTCCACGTCCTGTTGGCTTTCCAGCCTCTTTCTCTCTTCCGTCAAAGCTCCTACCGCCGTTTCGAAGGTACGCTTGCGGCTTGTGCCGCTGTCGGCTCTTTGAGCTTTCTGTTTTCTGTACCACTCAAACTTCTCCTCAGTGCTCATTTTGCTGAGCGACACGGCCACTTTTTCGGCGTTCATTCTTGCTTCTCGTTCCTTTTCCGTTTCCCCCCCCCTTCTTGTCCTTAGTTTTGCGGGACCTTTGGAGCCATCTGTCAGTCGAGGAACAATCCCCGCAGACACGCCTTAGGACGTTCCGTCCACTGGCGTGACTAGTCTCAAGTGTCACCGCATCGTCGCACTTTATGCATCGAAGTTCTGACTCCGTCATGTCTGCCACTAGAAATCTAAGGGACCTGAGAAGTTTCAAGGGGACTCGGTCTCCAAGCCAAGGGGGAAAAGGTGAGGAATCCAGGAAAGACCCTTGTTTCGAGGGGACTCGGTCTCCAAGCCAAGCTCTGAAGCTTCGCCAAGGAGTGAGGAATCCAGGAAAGACCCTTGTTTCGAGGGGACTCGGTCTCCAAGCCAAGCTCTGAAGCTTCGTCAAGGAGTGAGGAATCCCGGAAAGACTCTTGTTTCAAGGGCACGGACTCGGTTTCCAAGCCTTGGGCCAAAACAGCCGCGACCAACCAACATGTACTTGAGAATCGCACAAACGGTCTTCGCAAGAATCACCCTTGAATATCATCCCCTCTAAGGCATCGCTGTCTGCAAGTTTTCGTGCTGTCCTGTTGCCTCTTAAGCCCTGAGTCTGTGGTCGATTTCCACAAACTAGCACTAGGTTCTGGCAATGCTAATTTCATGCCAATGCATCAGAATTCGAAAATACTTAATTTGCTCAGCTATATTCTCCGAAGCTTTTTGAAAGCTTGAGTTCCAGCATCTGCAACACGGCACAGGGTTGCTACCTCATTCGGCTGCAAGGGGGCTTGCTGGTTGCTGCTTTGCAGCTTTCCAGCATCCATTGCAGCCTGACACAAAGGCTACATCATCATGGCCAAAGCCAATGTGTGAAACGCATTGCCCGTGGCTTTCACACAGTCGGAGGATCTGTAGAAATCATAATACAACTCACCGCTGTGCCCCTGCAACACAAGTCTCTCCTGAGCGGTCAAGGGCCTGTGGAACTCCTGCTCCCGCCACTCCTGATCTAGGTCACCTGTGGACAACACGAACAGGCTACCACCTGAAGTTCGCAAAGCCGGGCAAACGTCCCGATAATATCGAGAACCGTACAGGGTGCCAGGTGCTCTGTCTACTTCCAGGACCGCAATCTCAAAGCCGTGGCCGTCAAGCAAATCTCGCTTGACGAAACCTTTGTACTGTTCCAGATTGTGCTGCTGCTTTGCAGACAGCAAACCGGGATCCGTGTTGCCAATGCCTTGCATCAACAAGGACCTCAAAGGTGGGCTTGGGACAGCCTGCCAACTTCCACGGATCCCGCACGGGTTGCGGGATTATGTTCTCTTTGCAACAATCTCGGCGAAGTCCACGCAACCACACCCTGGACCTGGAATGGGGGAACACAGCCTGGAGGTCCTGCTGGACATAATTCACAACAAACCACGGAATGGCCACCGACAAGTATTGCATGACATCCCTTAAGAAAGCAGTCTTGGCCAGCAATGATGAATTTTCCACGAGGAAAAACAACAAGGAGCCTTTGTGTGCATAATGCACGATCATGCTGATCACCTGCAAATAAACCAAACTCCTGTCGTCGTATTCACCCCCTCGCTTGCCACTGGGACTCCAAGGCTGACATGGTGGTCCTGCCACCAGCACCTCGACGTCACTCTCAAGATCACTGCAATTTATGAAGTTGATGTCACCAGCTTTGTCCAGATGCATGGACTGGGCACGTGTTCCCAAATGCTTCCTCCAAAAGGCACCTAAAGCTGCATCAAACTCGTAGCAATCCTCGGGGGACCAAACTAATCCGACGCTGTCACATATGGCTTTCCAGGCTCTTATTCCAGCACAAGGCTCGCAAACAGCCACCTCCTGTTCAGTCCAACCAGAGGCCCGACCAAGCCGTGCAAGGCCGAAGCCACAGCAGAGCTCATGGCCGGTGGACGTGGCCCAGCCCAACACTTGCTAGCTCCGTTCTTGAGCACAAACGACCCTGGAACATTTGAGCCATGTCGTCCCTGCTGACCACATCGTCTCGACCACTCGAGCAGCAAGCCCATATCATCACATATTCTCCCCAGAGGAAGCCAACAAAGCAAAAACCACACATGTCATAGACAGACTTCAGAGTCAGTCTGTAGCAACCCAAGGAGGCCATCATCACATATTCTCCCCAGAGGAAGCCAATATAGCAAAAACCAACTCACCAATCGGGAGGCCGCCTCCAGCAAATCAGCAACTGCACTGGACACCGCTGCCGATGCTGGCCGTGGCGGTGCCTGGCTTGCCGATGGGCCGGGTGAGCTCACTCGAGAGGCCCCACGTCTCGGCTTCTCAGGGCCCGGAAGATGGCTGCCTTCGTGCTTGGCCTTCCAATGCTGCCAGTGGGCATACTCCGTGCCGAACGCCTGGCCGCAGCCCACACATTTGTACGGCTTGGGGGCGGAGGGGCCCTCTTTCAACACGATCTTCTCAGGCCGGCCTTTCTCCTCCTGTTTGCCGCTCTCGCTGCTCAGCTGGAGATCGGCAAGGCAGCCGGCGCCTTCATCAGCTTTCTGGTTTGCTTCTTGTTGCAATTTCTTTGCATACGCCAAGCACCTTGAAAGCTGAGCCTCCGGAAGCTTGCCTTGCATCTCCTTGCAAGTCAAGGAGTTGTGCATGTGGGGGAGGAGGCCCCATTTGGAGCAGGCTTTCTTGCAAACTGGGCATTTTACCCTTTGGTACCAGTCCGACTGGTCCTCCTCCGCTTCCTTCTGGAGGGGTGCTCCCTCCTTCTCCGGCTTCTTCGGCCGACCTGCCGGCTCTGTCGCTTTCTATCATCCCGAGCCTCCTTCACAGGCGGCCGCCGCACCGGCTCAGAGAGAAGGGACCACGGGCTCTTTTTGCTGCCCCTGCTGCCCCTGCTCATCTCGGTGTCCTTGTCCCACCTTCCTGGTGGCCTGTGAGGACCGCCGCCGCCGCCGTGGGTCGGATCAGTCTTAGCCGATGGGACCTCCGAAGCTTTGCTCGGGGAGCGGCTTCGATCCCGAGCCGTCCGATCCGCCCTCATCCGTTTGCTCCGAGCGTCGGAGTCGGAAGAGTCGCTTGAACCTGCAGGGCACATGTGGGAAAAGTAGATGGGAAACCTTACACACCAAACACGGTACACAACACAAACGGCAATGATGGGAGGACGGCGACGGTGATGAAAATGATTGTGATGTGCAACAGGACCGGCAGGATCCTTGCAGCCAGCCAAGGCAACCGAGCACCCTGGAGCAAACTTGCAGGATCCCAGAGGACTGCAACGCTATCCAGAGGCCCTGTGCCTGGCTGCTGATCCAGGACTGCACGGCATCCTTGCCAAAAAAAAGCAGACCGTTCCACGATGATAATATTTATGTTGCTGTTGGCTTGTTCCCGGACCAATGCCTGAGCGGCTTGAGCTTTGGCGGCCGTCACGCCGGCCAGGTGGCGGCATGAAAATCCTGGCCACAGATGCTTGGCTTGAAAAAGTTACCGCTTTTTTTAAGATGTCCTCGAGGAGTTTCCCAGGTTGCCGGGGGCCCACCGGAGCCCACACTGGCTCGGGCCGCAAAAGCTCTGGCTATCAGCTATTGAAACCCCTGCACACAGTCACTCTCAACATGCGACACATGCCTAATGCACAAAGTTCCCAAAAAGAAAATCCTTTTCGCAATGAGCCACACGGTCCAAGAGCAGGAACCAAAAGCATCCGCAGCAAAAAGCTATATTGACTCTCCCCCTCATCCGAACCGTTGCCGGCACTGCTCACATGGAGTTAAGCGATTCCTGGGACCTTGCACATGTCTGCACTCTGGATGGTGGAAGCACTTTCCACGTCCAGACGTGGTGAAGAACACTTCATGCGGCAGTTGTGCCCTTTCCGGAGCACGCACAAGCTCCCTTTGCAGCCGTTCGACCTCCAGATGCAATCGGCGACTCTCAGCCGCCCAATCTCGATGTCGCAGCTGCTTGACCCTATCTGCCCCACTTCGCACGCTCACCCACTCGGAATCATCCTCATTTTCGCTGCAAGGCTGAGTGTGCTGCTGGCCGTTGGCCAGCAGCCGTCTCAACTTTGAGTTCTCTTTCCAGGCGAAACATAGCAAAACACTCAAAGCGATAACTGCTGCAACACCGCAGCATCCATCAACTGAAATCGCTAACATGCTGACGGCTGCGAAATACAAACAAAAAGGGTCTGGCATCCCTTTCGCTTTGACTGTCCTATCGCAAGCAGCAACCCTGTCACTACGCAACGGTTTTTTTAATGTTCCGCAGGTGTCGCTCATCTCGTCTTGTGTTGACCGCACACTCACATGCTTCTGACTTGTGTTAACATATGTGTCTGCATGTATGTTCCATATTTCACAAAGTTCGCAGAAACAACATGTGGTGTTGCAGCCGAAAGCTCTAACTAAGCTCTTGCATGACTTGCGGTCCCCCAAAAGGACAATTCCGCCTCCCGACGTGAAAAGAAACCACTCGGTTAACCGCACAGGAGGCACAATTCAGTTGAGCCCAAATGCACTCAGTCGAGATCTTCTTCTTCTAACCGTCGCTTGCTTCCCCGGCTTGGTTGGCTGCTGGGTGCTTCCTCAGATGACGTGGATGCTGTCAGGGGCCGGCTAATGTACTGCCGCCACCACTGCCACCACCATATCCTGGGCACAGGCATCACGCACGAGGTATTGATTTCTACACGCAGGGTTCAGGGTTTACGGTGTGCTTGCAAGAGGCCACTCTCCGGAGTGCGGGCTTTTTGTTTTCATCCAGCACCATCTCCATTCCGCTGCTGGCCGTGGCGACCGGCTTCTTTCTCTGGGCATGTCCGTTGTCTAAGACAACGCAAACAAGGAGATGGATACTGGACCAAAACTGGCTGCCAAAGACCAGCACAAACGCATCGGCATCACTCTCGCTTTCCTTGTCCTAACCCGTTTTCAACAAGTGCCACAACTCTGGTCACCACGCAGTCCTGTTTTAGATGCTCTGCAAGTGCAGCATGCAATCAATCTGGGCCTGTGTCGGCCGCAACCTGAGATGTTCCTCTACAGAGGCTGCTTCCACACTCGCCCAAGCCAGCAGCTTCGCCACCGTCTCTGAGCGGCCCAAATGCTCCACAAACAAGTACAACCTGCATCTCTTGTCACGGTGATACGGGCACTGGCAGAAGGCCCGCAACTTGCCCGACTCATGGCTGAAGTTGTCAAAGTAAATTTTACAGTCAAGGCCCGGAACTCTGGATTGCACAGGGGCCTGGCGAAGGTCGGGATGCAAAGCCGAAGGCTCGTTGGCCTCAATGGCCTCCGACATTACAAAGGCTTTAAGGTCCTCTAAAACAGGCCTCTGCTCACCTTCATCACCACTCACATCAGATTCGTCCCGCAGCCTCTGAGCAAGACCCCGGACTCGCCGTCCGGCTGCTTTGTCCTTGCTGAAAAAGGCTGTGATGTCGCTCTGCGACATGTGAGCGATGCTACTCAAATCCGCAGCAGCCAGCAAATACTCATAGTACGCCTGCTTCTGCTCGTGAAACATTCGTGGCAACTTCCCCGGCTTCTGAAAAATCCATGGTGCTAGGAACAAAGCCTTCAGATGCGACTCGGTAAGAGTCAACACATTCTTCGGCAAACACCCGGGAACATCATCAGATGAAATCTGCTCAGGGGTGTCCTGCCCAGGATTGAGCCAGTGCCATCCACTTCGCACAAGAGCCCTCACAAACTCAAGTTTGTTGGTACCCTTCTTTCGGGACCTGTTGAGGAGCTCCACTCTTGCATGGCTCAAAGGCAGGGGGTCGACCCAGAAGGTTTTGGGCCGCAGCAAAAACGGAGCCACCAAGGCGACCAGGGCATCCCCGAAGTCGTCAAAGCGGACCGCAACCAAGCCCCTTTCGCAGAGGCGCAGCACGTGGCTCATTGGCACGTCGTGTTCTGCTGACAGCCTAGACAAAGAGATCTCGGTCGACCCCAGAGCACCGGCATGCACGAGGGCATCCGCCACCTGCCGCTCCTCTTGGGACTGGCTAATTTAGAATAGTTTCGTTCCCCAATTTAAGGTCAGGTCGGGTCGCGTCGGGTCGTTAGTTTCGCTACATTCACAGGTCGGGTCGGGTCGCTACATCCTCTTACATTCAGCTGGCAGTAAAAAGACCGGTTATGGTCTAGATTTGCTGGTCGTGTAGAAGGGAAAGTAAGTTGGCGATGATGACGACGATGACCATCCGGAGCAGTACCTGCCGCAAACTTTAAACTTCTTGCAATAAGGACAGAAAACGCCCTACTTCATTGAAATAGGCTGGTTTTGGCTTGTTTTTGGTTCGAAGCTTCAGACAAAAGCACCGTGCTTCTGCAACAAGATTTACTCGGGATGTCATCCTGGCATATTAGAAATATGACCACTAATTACCAACCTGGTATAACTTATACCCATTTTTGTTCACCCGTGCCCTCGGGTGGTCTCACCATCCACCCTCCCTGTAGAGGGCAAGAGCGAACAAAATCAACCAGGCTACAGTAAGGGTGCAAGGGCTCATGCAAGAAAGCAACCGATTTTGAGCAGCTGCTGCGACCTGGAGACTTACTCAGCAAGTGCCACCCGTTTTTTGAGTGGGCTGTGCTCCAACATGATGTCTGGGATGGGTGCGTCGCTGGAGGCAGCCAGGACATGCGATGAACCCTCCGCCTGGAGCCCTCTGAGCACCGGCTGGCTGGCAAGCCTCTTTGTGCGTTTCTTGGCATTGTACTTGGGCCTCTTGCTCCCGACATCACTTCGCTGCCGCCGCTTGCGTTGAATCAGCCGGCCGCCCTTTTTGTACCAGCCGCTGCCAGCCACCGCAAAGCGCAGGTCAGCATCTGCAAGCACTTTCGTGGCAAGCGTTTCGACCACCTCACCTGCCTGATCTGGTTGGGGTCCATTCACACGAACCATAAGATATGGTTCATAGGTCAAGCTCGAATGCCCACTGCCTATGTTGTCCCGGAGTACCTGCGCCAAAGCGAAAAGTCTTTCGCAAGAGGCGGACTCGCTTTGGAACAGCAGCCAGGCAAGCACTGCTCGCCGACCCTCTCCCAAATCTTCATCTGCCGTCTGCTTGAGAACAGCCTGCCACAAAGCCGTTGGATCGGCAACCTGCGGGTTTGCCACAAGCAAATACACTTCCAGCCCGCAAACCCCCAAAACAAGCCTATTTCATTGAAATAGGCTCGTGTTGCTCATTCCGGCCTTGTTCAGAGAGGGGGTGGCAAAAAATTGACTCAAGATGTTCATTGCAAGCGGTTTTGCATTGTTACTTTTGGTTGCCCAAGATGCAAGGGCTCAGGCCCGCGATCTGTGACAGTTGCAAAAGTTGCCGTGGCTCAGTTGCCTTAACTGTGACAAATGCAGGGGCTCAGGCTCCCTATCTGTGACAGCTGGTTGCAGAGGCTGAGGTTGGTGCACAGGTGGCCGTTCACACACAACAAGTAATCAAGTAGGGGCATGCTGCAAAGAGCCGTGTCACTGAGACTTCTGCAAAAATGCGGCTGGAGCCTTCTGTATCAATGGATGAGAAAGACGTCTTCGTGGTGGTGGTCTTTAAAGTCACTACAGTCACTACAGTGGAGTGGGAGCTGGCTTCACCGATCTTCACGGCCAGTTTGGCCCTCCCTTACCCCCCCGACCTGACCCTTGGTGACCTCCGCGCTTCTTTCTGCCCAAAGCTTTCGCAAGCCAGATATGAAGCTCTCCAGGTGGTTTTCGGCCAAGTTGTAAAATGTCCCCAACGCCTCAAAGCTCGGTGCCACGTCTCGTAGTTCGAGCACCTCCACGGACTCGAAAATTTTGAAATGACCGTAAACAGGAACGTCAGGGAACCTGTCGAAAACACGCTCCTGGCAGGTTGTTGCGAAGTCAGACAGCCGTTGGAAAATGGCCTTGATGGCATTTCTCTGTTCTGCGGGGGTTTGGCGGCCATCATCGACCAGAGGTTTCAGCCTGATTTGATATTCCTGTCTGCCTTTTTGCTCACTGACATACTTCAACACATAGGTTTCCCTCCAGGCGTGGGTGTATGTGTGCAAAATCTTCTCCAGACGTGATGGTAAAACAGGATTTGGTGGAGCTGCAGCAGCTGGCTGGCCGCACCTCACGAAAGCATCCGCTGCTGCGCTGTTTTTGCGGCAAAACCCGTCCAACTCTGCACAAAGCCTGTCTCGCGCCTGAAGCGTCTCATGCATCCTCAACGGCTTCTCCAGCCGGTTTTTGCACGAAAAACATATTTGCAGAATATCTGCCACTCCTGCTAGCGTCACTCTGAACTGCCATGTTGCCATAAACTGAAAGATTTCAGAAAGCCATTTGCGCTTCTCCCGGTCCTTTTCCTCTGTGTACGAAAAATGCCGGTGGCAAAGGATAGTGTGATACGATTTCTCAATCTGGGCCAAGGGTTGAAGCAATGATAACCAGCGAGCCTTTGCCGTACCCAAATGGGTGAGAAAGTCCTCGTCCTCCACGAGTGAAGCCCAAAATACCAAGTCTACTTGGCTGTGGGGGTGGTTTCGCAAGAACCTGAAAAGCTTGTTGCACATCTTTTCCAGCGAGACAAGGTACTCATCACACTTCAAAGACTCGGATATACTCAATTGGAACTTGTGAGCACAGCAATGCGTCGTCAAAAGTCGAGAAGCACATGCTTCTTGCAACATTTTGGCCACGTTTGACCCTGGGAGACCAAAGGCACGCCGCGAACCCATCACGCTTGCTCCGTCTGAAGTGAAACCAAGGCATTTGCTGAGCAGATTGGGCCTTGTTCGATCGGCCTCAAGCTCTTCCAGCATCTGCTGAAGAGATCCGAAAATATCCTTTGCAGTGAAGCCAGTGAGCTCTCTGTAAGAAAGAAGCCGGGTTTTGATGTCCCACTCCTCTGTAATGACTTTGACGACCACCACCACAAAGATGTCTTTCTCATCCATGGAAATAGAAAACGCTCGACATGAGCGGAGTTCCTCGCCCAGGCGGCGCTTCATGTCAGTGAAGGCTCCATCGCGCATCTTGCAGAATGTCGTCTCAGTATCATGGCTCTCCAGCAGCATGCCCCCTACTTGTCGCGCCATGTGAACGGCCACCTGCCAAGTGGACATGCTCCAAAAGTGTCACAAAGCAGTGTACATTGTCAAGGCCTGATTGAGCAAGTAAGCCTTGCGACTTTGAGGCCGCGGAGACCCTTGCTTGCTGCCGCTGCTCGGAGTAACAGGGCTACTGGCAAGGCTGCTCCCAGACCTTCTTACTGCTCGCTCAGGCGTGCTGACCACTGCATCGTCGCTGACATTTGTCGGTTGGCTGTTCTTCGCCTTCTGATGCGCCGCGCAGGTTTCATGATTTTGAAGTTTTCGGCGGTAAAAGTACTTGCCCAAAACATAGCTGCCGTTTATGAACTTGTCCTTTGAGGATCTGGCCGCGTTGAAAGCCATACAGAGTCGACAGCCCAAAGCATGTTTGCCCCCGTGCTCAATCAACTTTAGCCAGGGGAACTCTGAGTGATACTTCTTGAAAACCTCCTTCTCTGCATCTTGCTCTCCCACCCGCACTTCAGAAGCCATTGGCTTTGCAGGAAGCAAGGAAAGCCTATAAAACCACCTATTTCAATGACACAGGGTTGCTCTCTGACTTGCAGGAAGCAAGGACACCCAAGCGGGTTTTGATATTTCATGCCCATACCCCTTTGTGTAAAGGATCCTCAGAATGCGGAGCCCACTATGTTGATGCTGGATTTACACATTGCCAGCCCAGCCCAGCAAGCGTTGCATCAGATTCGGGGTTTCTGCATGCCCTGAAAAGCACTGAGCAGGCGCACCGGTGCTGCCAACTCATCTCCGCAGCGATGTTGCCGGTTGTCTTGTTTCCACGCCTCATGGACAAACTCAAAAACCACAAAAACGGGCCTACTTCAATGAATTAGGCTTGTTTTGGCGGTTTTCCTCTTTTCAGGCCCTCTCTACAAGTGTCAAAACCCACCTACGGACGGGCTGGACAAGCTCAATACCCCACTACAACCGAAAACCGGCCTACTTCAATGCATTAGGCTTGTTTTGGTGGTCTTCCGGTTTTCCTCCTTCTACGACTGTCTAAAACCACAAAAGGTAAGGTTGTACAAGCTCAAAGCCACGAAAGCGGGCCTACTTCAATGAATCAGGCTTGTTTTGGTGGTTTTCAGGTTTTCCTCCTTCTACAACTGTCTACATAAACCCACCAAGGTAAGGTTGTACAAGCTCAAAGCCACCAAAACGGGCCTACTTCAATGAATTAGGCTTGTTTTGGGAGTTCTCCTCCTTCCATGCTCTTTCTACATTGCAAATCCTAAACCCGACCAGTGTAAAGGTAGCTAAGCCCCACCAAGGCGAGATTAAAAGTTTCAGAGGCGGAGGAAAATGAGTTCTGGCGAGGCTGCTTGGATTTTGTGCACGATGTAGGGGGCTTGGGGAAGATACAGTTTAGGGGTTTAAGGTTACAGTTTAAGGCTTAATGTCCTACTCAGACGTCGTTCGCCTGTCGTTAGGGGTTTAAGGTTAAAATTTCAAGTTAAAAGTCCTACCGCCTTATACGTCGCTCGCCTGTCCTCAGGTTTAGCTAGGGGTTTAGGGTTTCGGTTTAAGGTTCTACCGCCTCATACGTCGCCTGTCCTTGGGGTTTAAGGATAGGGTTTGAGGTTTAGGGTTTAAGGTCCTACCGCCTCATGCGTCGCTCGCCTGTCCTTGGGGTTTGGGGGTTTTGGATTTACGGTTTTGGTTGAAATGCCCGGCAGGTTGTTTCTGTGTCAGGGCCAACAGAGGCTCTGGAACCATCAGGCAAGCCTCAGGAACTGTTAATTAAAACCCTGTTCAGAAACAACCCCAAACCGTCCGGAACCGTTCCGAAGCGTCGGAACGATAGAACAGTGCCGATCTAGCCTTCAGATTCTTGAGGCCAGAAAACGCAAGGACAATCGGACTCTATTAAACAAACCACTAGCGATTCCAAGGTTTTAGGTCCTGCCGCCTCATAGTTTAGGGGTTTAGGGTTTTAGGTCCTACCGCCTCCTACGTTCGCCTGTCCTTTTAGGTGTTTGGTGTGCCGAGTTGGAGGGTTGCAGCCTTCAAAGCACCGACACACGTACGCCGAAACTCAAAAACGACTGAAACCCTGCAACACAAACCCAAGCCCGAGAAATCCCCACGAAACCCAGGAAACACCTGGAAAAACAACCAACCTTGCTGAATCGCATTTTCCTGCGCAGCTCAGCTCTGCGAGCCAGTGAAGTGGGACTGCACCCAGCGTAGCATGGCACAATCACGTTGATCGGGAGTGATCCTCTTTGCGTGCATCGCCAGCTTGCCCCACGCAACCAAGTTCTCAGTGGCGTGTGTCTCGGCAGCAAACTGCAGTAGGCCCAAGGCTTCGGAGCTTATGCGCTTCCCTTGGCCACCTTCTTTGTCCATAACATCTCGGACGATGCGCGCGAAGGCAGTTCTTGAAGTTAAAGTTTCCGGTCCATCAGGTGCTTGCAAGCGTTTCACTTCAGCTTCTACCTGCTGCAGCCGCGGCCCATCCACATGCCTTCCATGAGCATTGCGAGCAGCAGGACGGCGAAGGACCGGCTCAGCGGGGGCAGTGGGGGTTTGGGACTCAGGTCGCAAGCGCCTGCGCTTGTTTACTGCTTGCAAGTACTCTGAACCCAATTCAGCCGGCGCCCTTCTCGATCGACCCCCAGTGCTGCTGGCCGCATTGCCATCTGCTGCAGCGCTGGCCGCATTGCCATCTGCTGCAATCACTTCTTCTTCCACTATTTCTGGCTCGCCTCTGAGAGGAGCTGGAAGGAGATCGTCAATTCTCATGTCGTCTTCGGCGACTTGGGCGCCACTCAAGCCACAAGCCTGTTCGAAAAACTCGTCATCTTCTTCCCGTCCAAAGACAAGAGGGCTGCTGATAATGAAGCGCTCAGCGGAAATCCATCCAGTATGCTCACCATAAACTACATGCCGTCTGAGGCCCTCGTCCAAAACCGCATGTCCGACACACCTCAGCACGGCCCCGCGTGGAACGTGGCAAACGGTAGTGGATGCAGGGTCTGCTTCTTGAGTGCAGGGAGCAGGCTCTACGCACTCAACATGCAAAGCTGCGATTGCCAGCCATTCTGCTTGTGACATTTTGTCATGGCCGCTCATCTTTTCCAAGTAGTCCCAAAGCTCAGCTGCTCGTGGGAAGGCTGGTGTCGCAAGCCTGCTTTCCAACTAAGTTTAGGGCTCCAAACACGCACAATTATTTCATCTCCTTACGACACTGCTAAAAAAAGGCTAAGCAAACATGACACTTTCACACCTGACCTGCAAAAGCCGGACTTGTCCAAGAAATCCTCTTCAGCAGCTTTGAAGAAGACCTCCTCTGCTGGCTGCAAATACAATGAGCGCAGGAATTCGCCAAATCGAAGGACAAGCTGCTGCTGAGGGGAAACGGCGGTCACATGGACGATGCTTGGGAAAATCTCTGGCAGATCCGCCACAAGGGTGTCGGCGACAACCTGGGTTCCTTCACAGAAGTAAACCAATTCATCTGCATGGCTTCCAGTATGTGATGCCACAAGGTTCTGCCACGTTTTCGAGTACCCTCGCAAAACCTGCTGGAGGGAGGCATCCTCTGTGATTCGACAACTCCATGGAGTGCAATGCCGGTTGCTAACCAAGCAAGTTTTCATGAGAGCAGCCGATTCTGAAACTGCAGAGATGTCATTCTTTGATCCCTCCGGGCTGTTCTATCACCAAGGACCAAAGGCAAACGGATCGCTGGCAGAGAGATCATCTACATGGCATGGCGACAGCGACAGAGCACAGCTATCTTTATTTCTGCTACTTCATGTATTGTGTTTGTAAAACACTCTTGTCACAACACGAATTTCTCGACTTGGAAGTCGTACCCCGAAAGCTTTGGTCCTCTCGCACACTCCCTGAACCCTTTTTCTCTTGGGACGCAGTGGCGGCTTTCAGACTGTTCTCACTCATGTACGTGTCCAGGTTTTGGGGGCGGTCGTTTGGGTTCTCAGGACAGCAAAACCTCGACCAACACACCGAAAACACCCTTCAGCCCGGCCTCGCCAAGAGATGCTGATGTCACACAGCACCGTGCTCCTACCAAAGTTTGTTGTTGTATGTTTTCTTGTTTCACGCCTCTGGTAAAGCTGAAAAACCCAAAACGAACCTATTTCAATGAAATAGGGTTGTTTTGGTGCTTCTCCTAGCTCCAGCCCATTACAAAGGTCAATACCCCCAAAAACGCCCTATTTCAATGAAATAGGCCTGTTTTGGCGCTTTTCCCAGCTCCGGCTCATTACAAAGGACGAATACCCCCAAAAACGCCTTCTTCTTTCAAGGAAATAAGCATGTTTTGGTGCTTTTCCTAGCTCCAGCCTATTACAAAGAATGAACACCACCAAAACGCCCTATTTCAATGAAATAAGCCTGTTTTGGTGTTTTTCCTAGCTCCAGCCCATTACGTTACAAAGGCTCAATAACCCCCTCTAGTCTAGCTCCAGCCCATTACAAAGGTCAATACCCCAAAAAACCCCTATTTCAATGAAATAGGCCTGTTTTGGCGCTTTTCCTAGCTCCGGCCCATTACAAAGGACGAATACCCCCAAAAACGCCTTATTTCAATGAAATAAGCTGTTTTGGTGCTTTTCCGAGCTCCATCCCGTTGCAAAGGCTCAACACCCCGGTCCTTTTCCTGGCTCTAGCCACCAAAAGAAGCCCATTGTACAGGCTCAATACAGCAAAAAGGCATTATTTTAATGAATTAGGCTTGTTTTAGTGGCTCGACAGATTCAACCCACAAAAAAGGACGTACTCTTGAACCCTCCCTCGGCTGTCCTCTTCATCATCTGACCAGCTGCAGCTTCTCGAGGTGCATTTCTGAGAATATTCCTGGGCCTTCTTCCTGATTTTTAACCTCTACAGACATATATATACATATGTACAGGTGGATAAATAGATAGTTTAGCGTTTTGCGGACGGCACCGTTGGAAATTAAGGCTCAGGTCGGCAGCTTAATTTCCAGTCAGGTCGGGTCGCTAATGCCACTATTTTCGGGTGACCTCGGGTGACCTCGCTATAAATCAGCCAGTTGGGAGAGAGAAACGGCGGCACTGCACACTGACAACCCCTTGCCTGCCTGCCTCTCTGACAAAATGTCTGCCTGTGCTACCAAGGAGTTCTCTACTACTTGCTGCACGAAAACATCCAGCTTCATGTCATCATCCACCAATTCGCCTGCATTGATGTCTGGTAGGGCAGGGAAGAGGTCTTCCTCAGGCCCGGCAGGCCCGCTCTGAATCTCTAACCGCATGCCCGCAGACTCAGCAGACCAGACACAGACCTGCTGAAACATCGACAACACGAGGTCACGTGCGCAGGCTCGCGACAGATTCAGCATAGTCACAGACGACCCAGACCCACACACCTCAACACGATTGCAAACACCGTCTACATTCGTGATCGGGCGAACGTCCGAGAAGATCTGCACCAGCATCCCGTTTCTGCCTTTGTCCTCAGCGAGACCCTGTTTCACAGAGGCACGATTTTCGGGTCGGGCATCGATGACCTGACAGTAAACCGTTCCTCCGGGGACCAAGTCCGGGAGTCCGAATTCTTCGTCACCAAGAGCCTCAGACAGGAGGTCATCATCTACGTCATCTTCAGCATCATCACCTTCCTTGTCCTCCTCCTCCGGCTCATCATCTGCTGAAAGTAGTTCGAAGATACTTCGGGGGAAGGAACATAGGGTGCCGTTGCTGAGCTGTTGCTTCAGAAAACTCACCCACTGCCTGTGGCCGGGCTTCAGGACTGGCCCACTCGCCGCTTGGTTGGTGATGGCTGCTGCAGCAGCCTTGAAGGCTTCAGCGGCCACCTCCATGTCGTCGACGTCGAGGAAATGATCCGCCAAGCTGTAGCAGTAAACACGAGACAACCGCTTAGCTTCGCTCATTCCTGCTATTTCGGTCGGACAGTTTGCTCCTCGTCCGTTGATGCAGCACATGCAACCTTCGGTCACCGTCGCTGGTCACCATTTGCAGGACCTGATTCCGACGAAGCCGTGCACAGGTTACGGCAGGCTTCGCCTGAGTGAAGCCTCGGCGAAAAGCCCACTTGATGCCTCGATGTTGCGACTCTAAGAACCGCTCTGCCATGGGGCACCACGCTCGCTCCTGGATTTCCACGAACGCCCGTGGAAATTGTCGCAGCGACCTCAGTGTGCGACCACCAGTGATGTCCTGCTGGACAAACTGCCATAGTTGACGGCTTTCGTCACTTTGTTTCCCGCATAGGAAAACACTGATAGGATCTATGCTGACGCCGGCCTCGGCAGCTGCAGCATATTCCTGGAAACACGACTTTGCGAACCCTATGACCTCAGGCAGAGACTTATCTACGTACAAACGAAAGATACCTGCTACTTTGAAAGGCAGCTTCTGGCACCAAGCGAACTTGTCTCGCAGGACCGCTTCCAAGTTCTGTCGCACTAGACCATCTGTCCGCAGAATCTCATTTGCCAGCTCTTGGTCAAACTTCAGCAACTCATTGTTCAAATCACTAACACTCACCTCACGAATGATGTCCAAAAACTTCTGAGGGCCATCCCAGGCGAACACACACAGACGCTTTCCTTTCCACGCACACAAGGACCCCGTTGCTGACGGACCCGTTTGAGGGTCCAACAGCCTCTTTGCCGCTCTCGAACGGGATTGCCTGAAGGATATGTCCCGCTCATGGCAAAAACATCCTTCCAGCCACCTTGAACATTGGCCCACAGCTCCGGAGAGAAGGCTTGTCCACAATGTCATTGCCCGGTTCTTCGTGCTGCCCAAAGCAGCACGAATCACCTGGGCAAGTTTCCTTTCGGACGCTCCCAGAGACCCGCCATGCCACTTCTCTTTTAGGATTGGGGCTACTTGCTTCCAGTACTTTGCACAATACTCGATGCTTTCCCATCTCCAATCGAGCACTGCAACATCCAGCCCACGTATGAGCTCTTGGTCTGCTGCTGACAGGCCAGGTGTGAATTGAAGCACAAGATCTACATAAGACTTCTGCGAAAAAACCCTGCCCACAGCCCTCAGCTCCGTCTCGTACGGGTCCCACAACGGGGAAGTTTTGAGAGCTGATTCAAGCGCATTGAAAAGAATGTGCATTACTCCGGGAATGCGGTAAGCATTGTGCAAAAAAGCAATGTTGCCCACCTCATCCAGCTGCACGTCTCCGGACAGCAGGCCGCGAGCAAGGCTGTTCAGGGTTGCATTTTTCTCATACGGAAAACCGAACAGATGCTTCTCCGTTCCCTGATCGCTCAAGTAGCCTTTGACTTCACTCCGATACATGTCTATGTTTTCTGCACCCTGTTCCTGGTGCAGAACATGAATCAGACGACAGAATTTCATTGATGCCGAGCCGTGCCCACGTGCCAAGGTCGTGAGGGGCAACGTTCGCCTGTGCCAGGTGAAACCTCCAAAAGCATCGAACTGTTCCTCAGGCACCGACAGGAAGTCCAAGGCGGGACTCCTTTCCAGAACGTCCTCAGTAACTGCGAAGTAATCGTAGCCACCTTGGGGCGACGAGTCGCTGCCCAGGTAGCGGGCACGCCGCCACCGTGGATCCCCGGCTTTGTTGAAGATCCGATTACTCCATGTGTGAATCAAATCCAATTTGATGATGTCCCTTGCAAAAGTCCTTCTGGATTTCGGAACTGGCACGTTCGCCGGCTCCAAGCCCATGGAGGGCAACAGCATGGTGCCCACCATCTGCATGATGTCGGGGATGTCTTGCAAGTTTTGAATATGATGTGCTACACACGCATAGAACAAATGCAAGTCCGGGGGAACATCCTCTCGCTGGGAAACTCCTGTGTTGCTGTTGCCTGCAGCAACAGCAACACGCTCAGGCTCAGGAGCTGCCCTCACAGAATCCACCACGATGCCGAGCGCCGACGTCAAGCATTTAGGACTGATCAAACTTCGGGCACGCCTCCCGCGAAACTCCAAAGCTTGCTGACCTACTGCTGCTGGAACAATGAGAACTCTATGTGCCTTTGGTTTGTGTCTTGTCGCAAACTCCCGGTACCGGATCTGCTCTCCTGCGGCTGCAAGATGATCGTAAAACCATCCTGAAACCGCATCAATCAAAGATGACGATGTCAAGGTAGTCACCTTCTGCATCTGTCCACCAGTGAGGCTGGCTTTGCCTAGAAGTTTTTCTTCGGTAGCAAAAAACTTCTGCTCACGGACCACTTACAGAAGTTTTTTGTTTCAACGTCTTTGCTTTGTGCAGTATCCTTCCTGTGCATGCTCGAAGATACGAACTGTTGCCACTTGGCCACCATCCGTGCGAAGTCTTTCTGCAACACGTTGGCTTCGAGCTCTTCAACAGTCTCCAAAACAAAACCGCCCAAAAATCTCACCTGATCAGGGCGACGCGGGTCACGAAATGGCCTGTTCTCTAACGAAACAATGACCACATCCCCACGGCGGACCTTTTCCCGCAGGGGGTGATGGTTCTGCTTCCTCTGAGAGGACGCACTTGAGTCGAAATTCAAAACTTCCGGCTCCATTGCTGTTTCGCAGGAGCCGAAACTAAGTATATGACGGGCAACGCTGCCAATGTCTGTGACGAAACTCACAAAAGGACTTGATTCGGGCCCGATGCCTTCGGAGGGCAGTTTGGTTCCTAAATCTGCGATTCCGGCTCACACGTCACTTCTGTTTGTTTTGCGAACCCTAAAAACGTTGTCATTGTTTGAGCGACAAATAACGATCCTAGTCTGGCGGGCTCCAAAACCATGGCTATTCGCGACGAAAATCAACGACACGAGTGCGGACGCCTGCAAAACAGCAAATTTTGGAACCCTCAACCAAAACACATCGATGCTATGAAAATCATACCAAATACTCGAACCTCAGCTGAACCCCAGTTCGGGTTGCCACCCCCGTGGCGACTTAGCCTGCGCTTACCCCGCAGATTCGATTTGTAGAGTTTTGCTTCATTGGTCCGGGCAAACTTTTCTTCGACGAGAAGACAATCTCTACTCATGGTGGGCTGCGCATCCTGTTTGTCAGCGCGCAAGCTTGGACATTGCAGTTTCCTCGGAGATTCCCGTTCTTATTCTTGGCATCAAAAGCCGTGTTCGAAACAGCCCGCCTCAGACTCGAATGTGGGCATCAATTACCCTTTCCGCGCCGACCCTTTGCTGGCAACTCCGGAAAACCCGGACATGTTCACTGAGTGCAACATACCTGCTCACACAGGTGTTCGCTGGCTCAATGTTTGCTTCGAGTGGAATGCGCATTCTTTTGCAGTGTTCCTGGATGACGAGCCGCTGTGCTCCGTTGCTCTCGTTCGCAATATTTCTTGTTGGGCTTATCCATACGTGGTGTCCTGGGCGCATCCGGAAGCTTCCCCGTTAGCAGTGATCACAACGCCATTTTACCGACCCGCAGGAGTGCCAAATCCTGATTGTGTTGTTTGTGGAGCTCTCGGCCGCGCTCGACCGGCAGTTGCTTGTGTCCTGATTGTGAACATTGGTTTTGCGAGGAACATGGTTTCTATGCTGTGCAAGTATGTCTGGGTTGCATGGACGAGCTTTACATTCAAGATCACATCGGCGGAGCCAGTAGTCTTGAGGCGTCCGATTTATTGACGCAAAACGTTTACAAGCGCTGCGACACCGACAGCTTTCCATTCCGAACAACGCAGATCAGGCGGTGTGTCTGGCTGGGAAACTATTCGAAGTGGAAAGCCGTGTGAGGTCTCGAAGCCCACGCCCTGGAACCAGTTACAACACACTGTGTCGTAGGTTCGACTTAGATTTCTGTGAAAAAAAGTATCAGGAGTCGATCAGCAAGTCCTGCGAAGTTCGTGTGGACAGCTTCCTGGCCAGTGGTCACTATGCTACGTGTCCACCATTGCCCCCTCCGCCTGGAATGACTTCGCTGTACGATCACGGCATGGAGCTTCTGTCTCGTTTGCCGCGGCCGCTGTTGGATTGCAAACCTATTTCCTTTGATGTGGAGCATCTGAAGGTGCCTGTTATTCTTGATCATCTAACTCTGTTGCATGGTCATGAGCGTGATCAGCACTTGAAATTCGAAGATGCAGGGCATCGTTACTTCTGGAAGAACGAGAGCGTAGACATATCAGTGACTGGTTTGCTTCGTTTATTTACTAGCGCATTCAAAGAACAAGACGTGATCGACAGCATGCGCCAGGGAAATAACTGGCCACGTGCTGCGTACGTCAAGCCGTATGCCTCGCTTCAGCTTTTGCAAACCGTTCAAGCAATGCCTGGCACGCAGGAACTTGTCAGCTTACTGCAGCAGCTACCGCACGATCGAGAGGCAGTGGCCAAGCTCGTGCGGTCCATCCCGCGCTCCGATGCAGCGCAACAGGAGCTGGCTGACATGGTCAGCATGAGTTCCAAGGAAATCCGTGACTCGTGGGCCCAAGCGCGTCGAGATGGTGCAGCTCGGGGAACATGGATGCACGCGCAAATTGAATGCCTTTTGAACGGTGGCTGCGTTACTTCTTGTAGCTTGGAGGTGGCGAAATTTCTACGGTTCGTAGCTGATGGAGGCATCGGCAGTGCCTGCGTCTTTCGCACAGAATGGAGAATATACGCAACGAGCGAGTCTGTTGCAGGGTCAATTGATTTTGTGGCGCGCGAGCCGAACGGTTCGTTGGTGTTGTTCGACTGGAAGCGTGCTCGCAAATTACATGAAAAGAACAATTCGTTTGGCAAGTTTATGAAGTCGCCGGTCAGCCATTTGCCTGATGCTGCACTTTGGCATTACCGATTGCAATTGAACTTATACAAGTGGGTTTTGGAGAGGTATTACAGTATGCACGTGGCCGCGATGTACGTTGTGTCTTTCCACCCTGACGATCACACTTTTTGGTGACAAAGTTCAAGACATGCAAGTGGACGCAAATGCCATTATGACCTACCAGAGGCGCCGCTTACAGGACAGAGTTGCTCAAACAGGAGCGGATTGCGTCGGAGGAGCAGCAGAAAACAATCAAAACGATGGTGATGACATAACATTCTCGCAGCAGGTCGAAGCAGAGATGCAGGATATGGAGCTTCCCTTGCCGAAGCGCTGCCAAGTCAGTTCGCCAGGTTCGGGTGATTTTTGGCTCCCACTTGGCTGGTCGAAGACCGCATAGCAGGTCACACGTCGGTCACGGTTTGAGTGGGATGACTACAGCTACAGAGCCCACTCGAAAGTCCGGGGATGACCAAACCAAACAACCTGACTATCCCTCTACACAGCTTGCATCCCCTGACTGATCACAGAGCTCAAGCATAAGTGCAAAGTACTGAGTTGTGCTGCCAAGGCCAACCTTCCGAACACAATCCGCTGCGAACGATGATATTTTGAAGATCCTGCGCGTTGACGCGACTTCATTGCTGTGTGATGCTTTCTCAGATCTTCCGCAGTCTGAGGAAGGTAGCATCCTGCGTGAGATAGAAGACGATCGAGCAATGGTGGCTCAGCATGGCCACTCGTCACCCTGGGGCTCCATGTATGCAAATAGGGCCAACGTTGCAATGTATGCAAAATTGGCCAACGTTGCAATGTATGCCAAATCCGCCTACGTTCGCGGAAACCCATCCCAACATGGGCAAAATCCGCCGACGCTAATGGAAAGTCAACAGGCTGTGTCCAAAATCCGGTAAACGGCACGGAAAGGCAAACGTGAGTCAAACGGATAGAGGACGCATCGGAGAAAATGGTGATAATGAATGCAGACACAATGGGCACAATGTATTTGTTTCTATCAACAGGCCAGCCTGCCAGCCAATTTAGTGCCATTCGTGTCTTTTTTGCCTCGGAATGCATGAACAGGTCATCACCTTAAACACAAGCGATATTAATGATTCTCCGGACGGGCTTATGCAAACCATTCGCACAAATATCCGGCCGTGTGATGTCAGGAACTTGCCTGTAACACATGCCATCACCAAGCACAGCTGTCTGATTCACCCGCCAGGATGCGCTCTGAGGTAATAATAACCTCAAGCAGTGTTATATAACACCTTTGAGGCACGAGGGCGATGGCAGTCCGCGGGGCGACAACTCTCACCACGGCAGCTGCGAGCAATTTCGGCGAACAGTAAGTTGACGATTGTTGTGCCAACCAAGATCAAATTTTGACAGCGCGACGGGCAATGAGTTCGGAAAACCAAGGATGTCGTTTCAGCTACAAAAACAGAATTTATCTTGCTGGACCAGGACACGTTGCAGCACCAAGTGTGCAGACAGTCTATGGGAGAACCGCTGAGGAAGTGATTAGTTCACCGGCTGAAAGGGGGATGTCTATGCGTATATGTGTGTGTATACATATATGTGTATATGCACATACTTACACACATGCATACATAACTACACACATTCACACACTCATACATACACAAACAGACACGAAAACTGCGTATGCATAATTTCTATACACTTGGTCGGCTACTGACGGCTATGCCGCCTGTTGTTAGTTGGGCTTGCACTTTCCGCCCAAATGTGCACCAATCCCCCCAAGACACACAGACAAGCACACACTTGAACACACACACACACACATATATATATATATATATATATATATACATACATACATGTATATATATATATATATATATATATATATATAATATACATGGAATTCCACATGCCTGCAAATTTAAACCGAACTGAACGCGTTTGGGATTTAAACCTGGTGTCCATGTTGTTGGTCTGTAATTAATGTTTTGGGGCAGGTCCTGGAGCGTTCCATTGCCGAATTTTGGCTACAACTATATGCAATTGCAGTGGAGCAGAACTCGTCGTCTGTCCGTACTTGCATGTCGTTCTACAGCATTGGTCATCCGGCTATGCCCATGCCGTGCACAGCAGCCGTCCTGTTGAACTACTGTTGGATGTGCCTTGCCGTGAACAAACTCGCCAACAACAGACGGACAGTTGCGCACACACACACACACACACAAAGAGAAAGGGAAAGGGAGAGAGAGAGGGAAAGATAAAAAAAAAAAAAAAAAGAGAGACATAATAACAACCAAATTCACGAATAAATGAAAAGGTAAACATATATATATATATATATATATATATATATATTGAGACATGTGCAAACATGTATACACTTACCTACATACATATTTATTTCTATTTATTTATTTGTGTGTTTATTCACATACACACATACATATCCCCACGCACCCATTTTGAGGATATGTGCCGAAAAGCTCATGGTGTTGCGCTTTGTCACGCGGCACCATAGCACTACTCAATACAACTCACCATGGGTACGTTGCTATTGAGGCATTTCAAGTCATTCTGGTTTGTGAGTGTTTGTTGAATTGAGCAAGACATGCATGCACGCTGAACCTCACAAAATACAACCACACAATGCCATCTGCAGCGGTTATGTCGTTGATGACAGTTCTGCTCTCACAGTTTTTATGGAGGTGGTTTGCAACCGTTGCAATTCCGTAGGGATGCGGCTTTTGGAATGTTTTGGTTTAGGATTCAGTTACTAGTCCACAGAATGTTGACGGGTTTTGTGGAATATATTGGTTTGGGCTTCTTTGGCAACGGTGTTTTGCCAAGAATCCTAGAGAGACTCGTATTTTGCGTAGCGCTGGTAGGGCTCGAAAAACAAATTGTGTACACAGTTGCTTCAGATCCTGAATTTCGGGATGAGGTGGGGAGGCTGAGACCTCTTTTTTCGGGCGTTCGAGCTTTCAAAGCTGTAGGCATTCCTTGCGACATTCAGGGCTGGCAGGCGTGATTCCGCGTGATTTTGCGTGATTTCTGTTGCGGCTCCTATATCATTTTGTATACGTTCAGCGGTTTGCGCGTGATTTCGCGTGATTTTGCGTGATTTCTCGTGTTTTCGGGCTGGGGTTGTCCAAAATAGGGGATTCCGCGGAATAGAGCTCGCAGTCAGACTTCACAGCTGAAAAGTGGGGCTTGAGTGGAGCCAACCCAAACCCAAGTTTTCAACCCGAAAAGTCGGGCTTGGATGGGATCCAGCTCAGACTGCAGTTTTCGAGCCGACAACCGGGGATTGGAACGAGGAAATCCTTGTCTTGTGTCCAAAAGTTGCATTTATAGGCCACCTACGACGTAAATTCACTCCGCCAGATCAAAGTTGCAGTTTTTGGTTGCTTAATCTCGGGTTTCACATTCCAGGATTTACCTTGCAGTTCCGAATATATAGAGTATGCTTGTATGAGCCAGTCTTAATTGCAAAAGCGCCCACTGAGGAATGACGAACAACATTTTTTGAAAAAGAACGCCTTCAAACATTTCATCTGCTTGTCACGCAGTTGCAAAACCCAGCCGCAACGGATGACACCCAAATGATTGATGGTTTCCGCATCTTTCATGTGGAAGATGTGGGAACATTTGGGACAAACTTGTTGGCATGTACAGCCAGAACTCAATGAGAATCCTCAAACAGCAGCTGCAGCATACTATGGGTTATTAGAATATCTTCCTTGTCCTCAATGTTAGTATGCTTAGCAGCTTAGGGCGTGCGCTCAAGTTGTGTATTTTAACAACCCAGGCTCATGTGCCAAGTTCAAGCTGCAGACTTTAATGGATGCTGCGTATGCAGCACCCACTCAGCCTCCCACTTGTGACACATTTATACCTTCAACCCGAAATCCTACCGAAAACCTCACTTCTCGGCTCCAAAACCAGAATTTGGATATCGAGAATTTCCTAAATCTCCTTGGTTTGAAATCTTGCGCTTGAGGCTGGATGGCCACTACTCGATAACTACGGTTTAGGCTTGCCAGCTTGTGCGGTCAAAACTAATGAAGTCTGCAGACCCTTGTGCTGTTGTTGAGCAAGTAGCTGTTGTTGAGCAAGTAGCTGAAACTTCAAGCAAGCACGCCAGGACTCGATGTCTAAAACCGTAATGTTCCAAGGCTACTTTTTGTGCTTGAGCGATAAGTTATGCGAAATGCAAAACGACACAAGCACAGGATGGCCAGCGCCAACCATCGGATAAGAGTGACAGTCCCTTTGAAACTATTCCGAGTAAAAACCCGACGGCAACGGAACAACGATTTTTCCAAGTTGATACTTCACAGACAGACGACGAAAGCAAAAACACTTCCAAACACTTCCCGCATGACATGAGCATAAACGATTCTACAAATGTGTGTCAGTAGTAAAGCAGGCCTAAAGAATTCTGTCATAGTACGTGTGCATGTGTTTGTGCGTCCGTATGTGTTTTGCACTTTTGTGTTTGTGAGTATGAGCAGGTTGTTCATTCACCTAGGCTCTGCACTTGTGTATCTGTGTGTGTGTGTATGTCTGTGTGTGTGTGTGTGCATGTCGGTGTGTGTGTGTGTGTTCGTGTGTCTGTGTGTAGTGTGTGTGTGTGTGTGTGTATGTGCATGTCAGTGTATGTGTGTGGGCGGGAGTATCTGTCTGTCTGTCTCCCTGTCTCTCTGTCTCCCCCTCTCTCCCTCTCTCCGTCTCTTTGTCTGTCTGCCTGCCTTCCTGCCTGTCATTCTGTCTGTCTCACTCTCTATCCCACTCTCTTTACCTCTTTCTCTCTGTCTCTCGTTCTCTCTCGCTCTCTCTGACTCTCTTTCTGTCGTTAGTTTTCCCTCGCCTTTCCTCTCTCCCTCCCTCCCTTCTTCCCTCTGATGTTGGAGCTCGGAAAATCATAGTCCCCAATCAAAAATGTCTACAACTCTCTTCAAATGAAACCAGTACGAACGTTTAAAGGCTCCAGGGATTCGAGTCTGTCGGTCTCGTGTAGATTAGATAATTCATTCATTCAGCCCGAATTGGGGATTTTGCTGTGGATCAGGGGAAGTTAATCAAAGGATTTGTGGTGTAGAAGATTTTTACCACCCCTCGCCTGCCGACGTAATGCCCCAAATCGATACGTAACCAGATTTGTTGTGCTCAAGCTGCTAAAGTGGGGTCTTCACAGGACATATTTATGCTCTTGCTTGTCGGGACACTGACACGGGAAAGCCCCTCCCCGCAAGGCCCCGCAGGCCTTATCGAATGTATGCCAAAATCGCCTACGTAGCCTCTTAACCCCCAATGTCTTGGTTTCTGGCCTACGCAGGCCAAAGTAGGCTTATTCAGCATACTTTGGAGCCCCTGGGTCATTGTGGCACAAAAGCTTACAGCATGTTGTGCAAGGAGCAATCTGTGTGCATCGACTGCGCTTGCTGGACATTTCTCGTAGAGAGGAAGTTTTCTTTCTCGAGCTCATTGAAGGAAGCTCGCGGCATGTGCGAGCTCACGGCGGCCAATGTGCAGACAAACTTCCAGAGAGATTGCCCTATGCTATACAGACGCACTTGGTTGAACTTCGTGGCTGGAAGCGATTCGAATTCAACCAGCTACCCAAGCCGCTTGCCTGCAAGTGAGAATGTTTTCTGTTGAGACCGTGGAGTACGAATGTGCAAAGAACCTCGTCTGCTTAGGTTTGTTGGCATCGACCAGGAAACAGTCAGTTCTTTGTTCCCACGATCGCTGGTTGTGCGTTACAAAGCATCGCGCTTGGACCGCGACTACATACAGGGTGGTGCCCCTGAGTTATAAGTAAGTTATAAGTAATTTATAAGTATGATAACATAACTTATAAGTCCTGTAACTTAACTTATAAGTTCATAACTTATAGTAGAAGTTATATCTAAGATATTAAGTTATAACTTAAGTTATCAACTTATAACATAACTTGATAACTTAAGTTATAACTAAGTTATAGAAGTTATTTTTATTTTTTATTCATTTTCAAAATTTGGCGTCCGGTCCAGAAAATCATTATAAATTTGCAACTCGGGCCATGAAAATTTCAAATTCATATGAAAAATAAGGTTCCCAGCAAATTATAGCAATGACAACATGGTTCCGGACCGATTCGGATGCAACCTTCTTGAATCTAAATGTTGAAAAGGGATCCTGTGTGAAGTTGAACAATTGTTGTTGTTGACATCTGCAGCGTTTTGGCTCATACTTTTTGTTTACACGTGCAGAAAGCTCGGAGACGGTTGCAAAGCGATGCCTCCGAGCAGAGCCCAGATGCAAAACTGGACGACGTTTGTTTTGTTTCTGAACGATTCCTTGTGGCAAGATCTGCAAAGCGATCAACCACAGCTGGTTAAGCTGGACAGGCTGGCAAACTGCTTAGCACGCCTGGGACTTCGGAATCCCAGTGAGCTGACCCTGGCTGCCATCGACGCTGTGCTGACAATGTTGGACACAGCAGCAGGAGAAACGACTCGCAACGATGCAACCTTGGCTTTCCAGCTGCTCGGCACCATTCGCAATCGAACGAAGGCTGCGATAGCTCGTGCTCGCACACAAGGATTGCCAGAGCACCAAGCGCCGATGAATCTGCCAGCTGTCGCAAACCACGTTACGGTTCCGGGGGCGTGGAGGCAAGCATTCTTTGCGGGAGGTTTCACGCAGACTCGCTTGGTCTTGGACACGGTGCTGCGTCACGCGCGGGCATGGCCGTTGAGGCAATCGAATCGTTTGGTTGGAGAAGAGCGCACCAGAGCGATGGCGCCAGCAAGGCCAGCGGCAGATCCTCTGCATTCGCTGCAGATGCTTTCGCACGCGGCGCAAATCTTTCAGGGGTTCCAAGGTCGTTCAAGATCAGAACCACAGCTTCATATCTTCGGCGATGGCGGCAGGGCCTCGGGAGGCAGTGGCTCGCAGGGCAACGGGGCTTCGAGAGTGCTTGCTTTGTCATCGACACAAAGCTTAGGAGAATCGCAGCAGAGTGGGCACGGTGCGTTGCTGTCTTTACCGCCTGCGCCGCCGCAAGAGGCAGCCCCGCCAGCGGCACAGCAGGAACTGTCAGAGGCTGCATCAGCGGTCCAGCCGCCGGCGCCGGAGGTGGAGAGAACCCCCGCAAGAGCCGCTTCCGGTTCACAAGGCCTCCCTGCAGACACAGGCGGCAGCACCCCGCCTGAGCGCTTGAGCAAGGGCAGTCCCCTCGGTCACTTGCCGTCGAAGTTGAAGGAAAGTGTCAAGGGACTGGCTGCTGTGCACTACGGCAAAGAGCTTCGGTCGCCTTGGTCTTACTTTCGTGACGGGGCGGGGCAGTCTAGCGGCAGAAGGCGTGTCAAGGGGAAACAAACCGACGCCGCAAGCCCGGCAGCGGCAAAAACACCAGTGTTGCGAAGGCCAGCTGCGGCAATGGATCGGGAGACAAGGTCGAGGAGTTCTGCAGCTCCTGCAGCGGACTCGGTGCTGCGCAGGCCTGCAGCCGCCGCGGTTGCGAAGAGTCCCTTGAAAAGGCCAGCTGCCAAGGACGGGCCGGTTGCAAAGAAGCCAGCGCTGCAGCAAGTGCCCGACTTGCTGCGACTGCCGTCTGTCTGGGAAGTTAAAGATGAAGGATCGCCAGCCCCCGTTTTGAAGAAGCCAGCAGCCCGAGAGTCGTTTGCGCAGCCTGTCTCCGCCGCGACCCATGGAGACGCAGCTGCGAAGACTGCGCCAGTTGCGGCGAAAGCAAGCGCGAAAGCAAAAGCGAAAGCCACGGCCAAGAGCAAGGCAGCGGCAAAGAGCAAAGGCAAAGCTAAAGCCGGCGTGCAGCGCAAGCCGAGCTGCTGCATGGCCAGGCCTGCAGCCGCCGCAGCGGGCCCCCGGGTACTGAAGATGACAGCCAAGTGCATTCGATCTCGTGCTTACCACAAGGAGTTGGGAGCAGCTCTGAAGTTGGGCTTGTCTAAGGAAGAAGCCAAGGAACGTGCTCGCATTGCGCACCGCACCGCCTGCTAGAGAATGCAAAGGAGGTGACATCGTGTAAATTGTTTTTCCCTTGATTTGGCCGGCACAGAGCCGTGGAGCCGCTTTTAAGGAGGAAGCTGCAGGCCTGCAGATTCCCAAAACCTGCGCAAGGGCGCAGCACTGGCTGGATGTGACAGCATCGCGAGCAGAAAGGGTTTGCTTGGGAAGCCTGGGAGTGCATTCCTGTAACATACGTGCAGTGCTTTAAAGTTTTTTGTTTCATTGTAGGGGGGGACAGGACGGCACATTAAATGCCATGAGGTAGGGTTGATGTTATCTTTCGTTTCGGCTCGTAGCTTGCAGATTTAGGGTACCCGCAAACGGCCTCTGCAGATGTCGTCCACGGGCAGCAGAAACAGAAAGATTCGGCAGGATGCTCCCGCGATCAGGCCCGGTGTCCGGGCCAAAGTGGAACCTTCAAGGTTTGCTTTGAGGACCTGGTATGTGGCTCATCGAGTTCGGTGTGTGGCTGCAAAAATATTTGCAGGCAAGAAGCTTTTGAAACGACTTTTGAAAAGGCTTGAGGAGTCTCGAAAGAGTTACCAGGAAGCCATTGCGAGGAAAGCACCCAGAGAGGAACGACTGAAGCTCTGGAAGCGTCGCTTTGAGCGGCGGGTGTGGGTTGCCTTAACAAGAAACGCCGTGCGCACCAGCAGAGAACGTCTTTTGTTTCTAGGACACACCGGTCTGTTGCGGCGACTGGGATAGAGATGCCGATGTGGAATCAAAAAGAACCTCTCTTATTTTCGCGTGTGGTCGAGATGCTTGCAGTGTGGGTCAGTCGCACGCCAGACAAGCCTGTGTTCCGCAGCTTTGCTTCGGCTCAAGACGGCAAGGAAGAAGCACCGCGGGCATCGATGGCGGACGAGAGGTGCGTCTCTAGCCAGGGGTTTGATAAGAGTTGAGTTCGAAAGTTTTTTGCTTTGGTTGTTTGTTGGAATGCAGCGTCTCCTCCTCCGCCTACCAGGGCGGCGGCGGCGGCGCTCGTTCCGGTCGCAGCTTGGCTTCCTCCTCCCCCTCGCGGGGGCGGCGGCGGTCAAGCTCGGCCTTCGTGTAGATGTTTGCTTTCTGTGAAGAGCTTTTCAATCCCTTGAGCCCTCTAACCCCAAAATTAAAGCCTTAGCCTTATGGAATCTCCCCTGTTGCAGGTCTTCGCCAAACTGGGAGAGAGTGGCGATGCCTGGAGCGGCTGATCCCTCGACTTCTCCGGCGGGAACAGGCACGGCGACCAGGACCAGGAGCGAGTCTCAGCGAAGCGACAGCTCCTCCCACTCCAAAGAGACAAGGCGCTCCCCTTCCGCAGGCAGGAAGCGGCGCGAGAGAAGCTCTTCGGAGCACGAAGCCTCTGAGGAGAAACCTCCGGGAGAGTGGGGCCCGAAGCCCGCGGTGTCGGAGGCGCCTTCGAAGAAGAGTCCGTTCGACGTGCAGGAGCCGGCGGAGGAAACAGAAGCGGAGGAAAGGGAGGTGGAGAAGAGCCGCAAGCGTGAGAAGAAAGAAAAGAAGAAGGACAAGAAGCGCTACAAGAAGCACAGCAGCGAAGAGCGGGGAAGGCACGAGGAGGAGCGTGACAGCCCGCCTCCCCGGAAGCTTAGGCTGCTTTGGGGCTTGCTGACGGCGGAGGAAGTGGAACACTGCACCCACATGGGGCCGCAGTGGTGCCCTCTCTACGGGACTCACATGTGCCGCAAGTCCCTCAAAGAGCCCTGGGCCGCTGTTCAGCATCTGCAAGCGAAGCATGGCGTGGAGGAAGAGCAGGCGAAAGCGGCAGCCCGCCAGCTCTGGAAGCTCGATGCACTCGGGATCCGCCTCCGGTCTCGCTCGGAGCTTCGGGATGACAGGCGCCCTGCTGAGCCAAAGGATCCGCCAAGGAGGTCGGGCCAGAAGCCGCCGAGCTCCAAGCTGCAGACAGTCAAGGAGGAGCCAGTGGAGAGGGAGCCGGAAGCTGCCTTGCCTCCCAAAAGTGGCGGCCAAGCTTCGATGCCCCAGGGTGTTGCGGCCACCAAGAGCGAGGCAGAGGATAATAACCTGAAGTATCAGCTGCTGCGAGATCTGTTTGCTGATGTGGCAGACAGAGTTTTGGGTGGAAGCAGCAGCTCCTCCACCCGCTTGTGAAGACCCGGTCCGGGTTGAGATGGTGCTTGGTTTTTAAATCCCTAAGCCCTGTAACTTTAATAGTTCTTAGAACTTAAACCCTGTGTATCCAAGCCTTAAATCTTAGAAGCACCATCTCCACGGGGCCTGGGCTTCGTGTAGATTAAATTCACAGTGTCTCGACTTCTTTCGGACGTGCTTGAAGGAAAAAAAGCTAGTTGGTCGCAGGCCGATAGGAACGATAAGCATGTCCAGGCAGGCATCAAGCCGTGTTGTTGTATCGTGGATGTTGCGTGTTGTTGTTGTTTGTTTGGTGGAGACTCCCGTAACATATGTATCGTGATGAGGGGTTCTAGCGATACGAATGTTCGGATATCTTTTTTACAAAATTCCATCCCGAACGTATGTATCGTGAGCCGCCGGTCAGCGATACATATGTATAATGTACGGGTTCCTTGCTTCCAGAGCGGATGTATCGTGGATGTTGCGTGTTGTTGTTTTGGATCGCGTGCTGTTCCTGTAACGTATGTATCGTGTAACAGGGGCTCGCGATACGTATGTTCGGGTATCATTTTCTTAAAAAATATATCCAGGACATATGTATCGTAACACAGGGGCCACGATACATATGTACATTGCGTGGTTGCTCGGACGAGGTGCTCTGGTGCTGTCGTTTGGCTCCAACTAGTGAGTTTTGTTAGACTTGTTCTTGCTCCCGCGTTGCTTTTGGTGCTGAAGCATGGCAGCTGTCGTGGATGCAGCAATTCAGAAGAGCACTGCTGCCGAAGGCGTTCCAGTGCTTGGGACTCCTTCTCCCGACGAGATAGAGACCCAACTGTTGGAGACGGCTGTTGCGACCCAAGCTCAAGCCGCAGACCACGCCTTCTGCTGCTACCGCTGCCGCAAGAACCATCCCAAGACAGAGATGGTTGTGCGAAGCGCCAACAGAATCTGCTGCAAGGATTGCAACGCCACCATGACGACGTTGAATCGCAACGGCCTCAATCCAGACCAGCTTCTGGAGGAGGAGGAGTTGGAAAAGTTCTTCCAGACTGCCAAGGACACCCGCTCCAAGGGAGAGCGCTTGAGTTACCAGAAGACCCGCGGCATCCTCAAGGATTGCATGGTGCTGACGTCCACCAAGAGATACAAGGAGTCGGAGAGCGGCACGTTCCTGCCACTCACCATGTACGCAGCCAAAGGTCTCAGTAAGGATGAGCTTGACAAGATTGAGGCGACGTGCGAAGCCAAAGACCACCCGGTCTTCGGCAAAACCTACAAGGTCAACTTCGAAAGCCAGACCAAGGAGAAGACGGTGGAGGAGTGTGAAACCAAGCTGTGCAGCTTAGAGACTGCCATGAAACGCAAGAAGCTGGAAGGAGAAGCACCTCGCAAAGCTCTGGCTGGTGCGGGGGCGGCCCAGCTGGCGTTGTGCGACTTGGCACAGGAGTTCGAGGGGTTGGAGTCCGACGAAGAGGCAGAGACCACCACGAAGGCTGCCAAGCAAAACCCCGACAAGGCAGCGAAGGCCGCAGCGAAGAAAGCAGAACGTGAAAAGCTTCGCCAAGCCAAGAAAGACTTCAAGGTTCTGGTTGCTGCGGTTGGAAAGCTCCTGCCCAACTTGCGAAGCAGCAAAACTCGCCTGGAGAACCTCATGGAGAAACTCGGCGAGCAAGCTTTGGCTGGCTTGCAGAGCTGCGTTCAGGAGCAGCTCCAGGAGGTCTTGCCGCTCCTTACCAGCTACGAAAAGGACGCCAACGCTCTGCTTGGTGCCGCTGCCCAGGGCGAGAACACCTGGACTGGCCCAGAGCCCTTGTCTTTCCAGACGCCCTTGGACTTGCAGCAGGTCGTGAAGGACGCTGCCTGTGTCGCCAAAAGTTTGCAGGACTTGAAGCGACAGGCCGCCGACGCTAAGGCTGCAGCCCCGAAGAGGGCACGCAAGACCAAGTGAAGTGCTTTTCTGAACTGCATGCTTGGTTACCTTCCTCGCTTCATGGAGGTTGGAGCCGGCCGAGAGGCCCTAATTAATTTTAGTTCCCTCGCATAATTCAAGCACAGGTGTCACGTCGTGTGCTAACACGAGACCCGAACACGCTCGTTTTCCCCGCACGAAAGGAAAAAAATCTTGCTTGACAGCCAGCAAGGGCAAGCAGCATATATAACAGGAGGCGCACCTGGAGTGTCTTGGCTCAAAGCAAACACCGCGCACTCGCGATGTGCGAGAGGGCAGCCTACGTTGTTTTTTTGGAATCCCTGAAAAGTGAAAGGGCATGTTTGTCATGCTACCTCAACGCTGTGCAGCCTTACCTGGACAGGTGCAGTGCTTGAACAGGCCTCCCTTCCACAATGAAGCATGTCCGCACCGTTGCAGGCGAAGTGTGATGGAAAGCAACTGCATGTCCAAGGACTGCAGCTGCGACCTCTCCCCAAGGCCGCTGCTGCCAACATGTTGCAAAGTATCTTAAAGCACATCCCAACTGCTTGCTTGCAGGACACACAAGACGAAGAAGAAGGCCGGGCGCAAGAGCCGCAGAGTTATAGGCAGAGACTTGCCTTGTTCCCAGGACCGTAACGCAAGAAAGACCGCTTCAGATGAGGGTGCACCCATAGCCCAAGCTGTTTCATCCGATCTAGACATGTAGATCCGACATATAATTCAAACTGCATTTAATTAAAACCGCTGAGGATGTGGAGTGGGCAGGGGATCTCTTCTGCAAGCATGCCGCCCCATCGCAATTGCAGCGACTCGCGACAAAAGAGGTTCACAGTAAGGAACACTGCCCAGTCAGAAACACCGCACCACCTTCGCTGCTTCTAGCTGTCCTCGCAGCCGTTTTGGCTTTGGCAAGTGCAACAGGATGACAATACATGCTTGCAGCTGTTCTTTTTCTTTCCGAAGCCCGTGAACTTGCATGGGATGCCGAAGCGATCCCATTTGGAAGCTGCCTTGGGCCGCCAGAGCGAAACCAGTCTTTGGCGCGCTCGGGCTCTCGACCAGGCAGCCGACGACAGCCCAAGCCGGCCCAAACAGCGAAGTGGTGCATGGAAGCGAAAGACCGCGCAAATCCTCGCACCCTTTCGTCGAGCATACACTACAATCCAGTTGCCGGCAGCAACTGCCGGCGAGGATGATGTGGTGTGCGTTTTTGCCGATGTGAAAGAAATGCTTCGGCTGTGTGTGGCCAAGTGCCCCTGCATCGGCCAAGTCATCGCAAGAGCTGAGCTTCGTGACGAAGCCTTGCAAGTTTATTTCTGCCAAGACGAATGCACAGCAGGAAACGTGCTGGCGACCGAGGCCAGGCAGAAACTGACTTTGCTTTACTTGACTTTCAAGCAATACGGGGATGCTGTGCAGTCGCAAATAGCCTGGTTCCCCATCTCCTGCGCGAGCAGAGATCAAATCCACAACATCCTAGGAGGAACCGCCCGCCTCACTGTTGGCTGGCTCCGAGAGTGGCATCGACAAAGCCTCTCGACGAGCTGGCAGTGCGGACCGCACCACTGCCGGCTAGAGTTGACCGGTTGGGTTTCTGACTTTGATGCACTACGGCTATCCTTTGATGCCAAGGGCAGCGCTGGTTTGCGACCTTGCTTCCTGTGCCAGAATGTTGTTTCGAAGCGGACGGAAGCACCGGCAGAAGACGACCGCTTCGTGCCTGTGAGCGAAAGCAACCCCAGGAACTTCGTGCTCAACAGACAAGACGACGTGGTGCAGTTCATGCAGGATAGTCTGCATCTTGTGCCACGCCTGTCAAAAGCAGACGTCGCCATGCGCGAAACCTGCTCTGGCTTTCGCTTGAGGTCCTGCAGCATTTGGTCCTGCCCGCTCAGCCGGCGCTTGCTGCGCTTGGACATGATCATGAATGATAGCATGCACGCTTACTTTGCAGACGGTATCGCTAGCCAGGAGTTGATTCTGATCTGGAACAAAGTAAACGAAGTCACGGGAATGTCTCTCAAGGACCTGGAAAAGGCGGTGCTTGAAGCTGGCTGGAGTCGACCCGCTGTTCGCCGAAAGCACGGAGAAACCAGAAGCTGGGTGCAGCGGCTTTTCAGGGAGAAGTTCTTTGCTGGCGAAGTTTACAAGGGTAGTGCGAGCGAAACGCAAGCCCTCGTGGTTTTGTTTCGCTGGTATGCCATCCAACTGCAATGGCACCGCACAGAAGGATTGCGAACGGTCACGGCGAGCTTTTTGCAGCTGTGCCGTTGCCGGGATGCACTGCTGAGAGTAAACCAAACTAAACATTGGTCGAAGCTCGACGATGTGCAGCAATCCCACATGAGGGCCTTCATGCTGGCACATGCGGGACATGAGAAACCCAAGCATCACCACCGAATGCACCTGCCAAAGCATTATGAGGCCAGCGGCATGGTCTTATCCTGCTATGCAACCGAAGCGAAGCACAAGCTGTACAAAGGCCAGCTGGCAAGCTGCGTGCAGCAGTTTTTGACCAGCAGCAACGGCGGCTCGGAGCACGGATTGCGCTCGATGCCACGACTGCTTCTCAAGCATTGCACACAAGCTGCAGACGAGCCCTTGCTGTTGTACGGGAAATGGGAGATTCTGGACCAGCTCAAGGAGAACGAGCTGCCGCCAGTGCGTCTGCCTGTCGGAGGGATCTGCTACCGGCGTTTGCGAATCGGCCTTTTGGATATTAGCCGCGACGATATCTTGCTTGCAGGCAGGGAATACCAGCAATCCGGCCTCTGTGACTCCTTTTACCGCGACCCTCGAGGCGATTTGCATGTCTGCTTCCAACCTTTGCTTCTGAGTTGGAAAGATGAAGCACATCTCATCTTCAATAAAGATGGCCCAAAGCGCTTCGTTCTCTGGAGCGACCTGTACCAGCCTGCCACGCCAACGTGGCATTGCCGCGAGAATGACAGTTTCCTGTGCATACCCTGACACTGATTCGTGTCATTTAGAAATGAAATCTCACCAAAGACCTGGAAACGCATGCGCAGCGAAGCAAAAAACACTCCGATTTCGTTTTCAAATACTTTTTTGAGTCCAGGAAACT